TTACAGGATAGCTATGAAAGGGGAGTAATAGTCAGTTATTGGACATAACCAACCTGTTGTGAAAACAGTAATAGTCAGTTATTGGCATAACCTACCTGTTGTGAAAACTTAACTAAGTTTTCACAACAGGTAGGTTATGTCCTATTTTCCTCTGCCCCTTTCACCTCAGTATGTCCTGTGAGTATCACATTTTCCAAGTACCTCTTTCTTCATTATGTGTCCTAGAAATTTTAACTCTCTCTTTCTGATTTTACGTTCTCATTTTCCAGCTCCAAGCTTTCCAGACAACTTAGATCCTCAAAAATTTAAATGCAGTGTCAATTGTTATCTGTTGTCTTCTTGATAACTTTTCCATTGTTCCTTAATAATGTTTCTGTTTTCTCATCTTTTCACACCCAGTAATCCCTTGTGCCTTAGTGGCTTTACTGTCTTGTTTTAGGTGAATTCAATTAAAAAAACATATAAATGAACATTTTTTTTTCCCATTTACTCTAGAATTTCTTTCATTACTCACATGTTCAGTCCATCATATACTAAAATAAATTAAATCAAATTTCTGTAGAAGCTCACATTGCAAAAAACAAATATACATCTTTTGGATTTAAGAAATCAAAAACTTTTGAAAAACTATCCTGAGAAGAGAATAAAAAAATCCTCCACTCTGAATAATCAATCAAATATTTTTTGGAAATGTAATAGTCTTTGTTCTAATGTTTCTCATTGACTCATAGCTCATAAAACTTGTTTAGGGAAACCACGGTTTTAACTCTCCATTGAGAATAGAAATTTCTGACTATTGATTATCAACGTTTATTGTTTTTGACTTACATTTCTGGACCTGAAAATGGAAAATTCTCTTATATTTTATAACATTGTCCGATTTTTTTTTATTTCTGTTATTTTATAGCAGTTGCATTTTTTTCTAAAGCTTAGATAAACACAGTAAATAAGATCTTTAATTCTTTTACCTACATTACGGACATAATGATTGTAATCTAAGATGATTTTATGTGCATTTTACAAGGATATTGTATTTATGATACTCTGTTGAGAAGATATCAAAACAATATTATTCTCTTTGGGGAGTCTTAAGAATCATAATTTTCATCTGTTATTGTAAGAGAAGAGTGTATGTGTTTTTTTGCAAGGAGTGGGGAGAAAAAAAATCAGCTAATCTAATTATTTGTCACACCACATAAATAAAGAACGACAAATGTATCGATTCATCTCTCTTCTGCCGGTATATACAAATTATTGTCGTGAAATTAATCACACCAAAGATAATATTTCTTTTCAGACTTGAGGTTTACTTTGCTTAATTATTTTATTAAGAGCACAGGGTTTCCCTTGCCATTTTCATGAACCCTACCCACCCTCAACTGCTTGCCAATTCTCCATACATTATCCTTCTATTAGATGTCTCTTGGTATCAGATGATACGGACCTTTATGGTTGTAAAGTTGACAAGAAACACATTTATGAGATGATTGTGTATTTCTGCATTTTTCATTATCACAGATAAATGAATGAATGAAAGAGTGGAACTAAACTGAGAGAAAGAATATATATTAGTGATTAAGAATTAATAAAAAAATTCACAGAATGAAGATAATGGTCAATATTGAATTTTCTGGTTGTTAAGTTTTGGAGGCATTTGTCCCTGATGCCAAATGTAAACCATTCAATACATTCAGAATTATATGACCATGCAATAGATTCTCTAATTTAGAAACAATAAAAATACAATTTTATTTTATAGCACATTGGATAGAGCTATGAATTTGATCTCCTGAGGTATATCATTTAACTAAATTTAGAAATGCTTAAAAAAAAGTATTTTAAAGCAAATAGTTTATTAACCTATATCCAAGGAGGTGTTGAAAAGTTCATGAGTACTGGACATTTGGTTGAACTTAGGAAGTGGGTCAAGCCAAGAACTATTCAGCACCTCCTCACAGTATGTATATGTTTATACATGGATTAAGGTGGGGGCCTATTTTTTTGTTTTTGTTTTAATCATTTCTCCCCAAGCAAGACAGTAAAGCTACTAAGACACAAGGGGTTATTGATTATGAAAGAATAAGACAAAAAGCAAGAAACATTATTAAGGAGCAAGAAAAATAGAAGAGTAATCAAGAAGACAGTATATAATGATTGACATTACATTTAAATTTTTGATGATCAAAGTCAGCTGGAAAGCTAGGAACTGGAAGAAAGTTCCACAAGTGAGACATGCAAGAAAAAAAAAAAAAAAACTGTTAGCATAGAACTTATGGTTTCATCAAGCCAATTCAACTGGGAACTGAGAACTTGAAGCTAATTTAGTACTGCACAAAAATCTGGGTATGATAGCAAAGGGTTCATCAAAACAATTACCACAAAAGTATTTATAGCAAAAGCACAGGGATGCTACATTATGGTGTTGATGACTGAAGCCAAGATGCCAGATCAGGACCAATAATATTGCTGATTCTTCAGTGGATTTTATCAAGAATTTCTAAATATACAGCAGCAGCACCCGACCATATCTGGCAGCAATATTCAATGCATGGAGGAATAGTACTTTTAAATATGTAAGCAAGAAAAATTGTTGAGGCAGTGAACCAACTTTCTTAGCAACAGACCTAGTACTGGATTCAATATAATATTTCTGCTTCATGTAAGCCAAGAATATTCTACTGGAGGTTAGCATCAGCCATACTGATGAGAGCAGGAAGGTATCTCGTTCTATTGGTATTAAATAAGAAACTGATCACCTCTTTTACTATATGTAACAAATATCAGACTTTCCAAGATGCCATGTCAAAGCAGAAATCTGATGTTTGGACAATTGGTCAGATTTTGGGAAATGGATTGAGCCTAGAACTATTCAGCACCTCCTCAGAGTATTGAGATGTTTATACATGAATTAAAGTGGAGGTCAATTTTCTATTTGTTCTAAGTAACAAACTGATCAACCCAAGAATTACTATATGTAATAATATCAGCCTGATCATGAAATGTGTCATCCTGGGTATGATGATAAACAACCTCCGTGTCCTAGGTAAGACAATAAATTATGTCTGACAGTAAGGCCTCTTATCAGGAGGTTTTGAGGAGCATAGAACCATCACTTAATTGCTGGTGTTCCCTGGTCTACCCTGGCCCAAGGTGGTAGCACCTGTTAGGGTCCAAGCTCTGGGCAAATAGTTAACCCCCAAACTGGTGTCAAACACAATGAAAGTGTAAAAATAGGTTTTAATACCAGAAATACTTTTTTGTAAGAAATTATTACCAGCAATAAATTTTTGAAGGAAAAAATTATTACCATGAAAAAAAAATATTATAAATTTTTGAAAAAAATATTACCAGCAATACATTTTTGAAAGAAAAAATATTACCAGCAATAAAAATTTTGTGACCATTAAATGACCCATTGAGGTTGATATGCCATAAAACAAAACAAACAAAACCAAAACAAGAAACTTGTGCAAAGCAAAATTCTAATATTTGAACATTCAGTCAAATTTTGGAAAATGGATCATCCGGAAAATTTCAATCAACCCTCATATACCATGTGTATTTGTATATTTCTTGTTTATAATGTCTGTAACATTTCATTGTAGCAGATTTATCTCTCTGGCATTGGTGATATCAGATGATAATGTCTTTTTTATAACTATTCCAATATGTTTACAAGGATGGGAGGTGAAAAAACTGATTCCATGAAGAAGCATAATATAACAATAATAACTGAATATATATATATATATATATATATATATATATATATATATATATATATATATATATATATATATATATATATGTGTATATATATATATATATGTATATATATATATATGTATATATATATATATGGTATATATATATATATGGTGTATATATATATATATGTATATATGGTGTATATATATATATATATATGTATATATGGTGTATATATATATATGTTTATATGGTGTATATATATATATATATGGTGTATATATATATATGTATATATATATATATATATATATATATATATATATATATATATATATATATATATATATATATATATATATATATGTGTGTGTGAAAATATATAGAAAATAGGAAAGAACTGGTTAGGTAAATAATCCAAAAGTTCCTTAGTATTTTAGTTACTATTTTTAAAACATAGTGCTCGATACAAAAGTAGAAAATAAATATAATTATTTATTTAAAAATATGATTCAACTCGTGACATAAAAGGTCTCATGTTTCAAAACATGAAAACTTCAATATAATTATTTGAATTAAATTGAGTTAAAGTAAGCTCTGTTCCATCTTCAAGCGAAATTTTTTTTGGAATGATGTATTTCTGAAATTTACATGTTTTAATAATTGAAATCAAAATTTCCATGGTCACAGCTAGGGCAAATTGTTTAAATAATAATAAGTATCAGTATAGATTTAACTCTATACTGATACTTATTATTAACACCCAACACACGCCTACCCAATTTAAACAATTCGCTCTAGCTGTTACCATGGAAATTTTGATTTCAATTATTAAAACATGTAAATTTTCAGAAATACGTTATTCAAAAAAAATTTGCTTGAAGATGGAACAGAGCTTACTTTTTAACTCAATTTAATTCAAATAATTATATTGAAGTTTTTTATTTTTTTGTTTTGAAACATGAGACCTCTTATGTCGCAAGTTGGAATCATATTTTTAAATAAATAATTATATATATATATATATATATATATATATTGATGAAATTAAATGTAAAAATCTTCCAAAAATATGAATATAATGTTCTAAATGATAATATGAATAATGCAACTATAATGTTCTATATTTTTATTATATGAATAATAGGGCTGCAATGAGCAATATGTTAACATGAATGGTATAATATGCTACAAATAATGACAATTATGCTCTATATAATAATAGTAATAATATGACTGTAATGTTTCATGATGTAAGTTATATGACATATTATACTAATAATATGAAGCTTATGGTCACATCATATTGAGACACTAGTTTCTGTATGATCACTGAAGTTAAGCAACGTTGAGCTTAGTCAGTACTTAGATGGGTGGCAGCTTAGGAATAACAGGTGTTGTAAGCTTGAATGTGCAGGTGGTGTACTGGATAATGGCTTGGAATTGCTAATTGAGGAACTCAGTTCCAATTTCTTTTGGTTTTGTTAGATTCACTTAGATGCAAATACCCTTGGGAAAAGTATGAATCCTTCTATTCTCCCCCAGCTATGGGGTAATTAGTAAAACCTATATCACTAAAACAATTATTATCTAAAAAAAATTTCATACAAAATTTTGAGATTTCATCATGAAATAACCCATAGAGGCTGATATGCCGCTAAACATAAACAATCAACTAATAATGTGAATATAATATTATATGTTAAAATACAAATAATATGGCATAATCTGAATAATATGACTATAATGTTTCTTATTATAATATGATTTTTTTTGGTGGGTGATCACAGCTCTCCACAACTTCTTATCCATCATAGCTCTTAGCAATACTTGTCTTTTAACTATCCACACTGCCTGCTCTGTTATCCCTTTCCAAAAGCTCAAAAGATAAATTGCTCACTGCTTTCCCCTCTCTATTTCTCTCTCTCTCTCTTCAGTATATCCTGTGAGTGTCAAGTTTTCTAAGTTTTCTTCTCTTGTTATATGTCCTAGAAATTTAAATTGTCCTTTTTGTTTCCATCTCCCTCAAAAATTCCTCTCTGCTTACAGGCTCTAACCGCAGTATACTCAGCATCCATTTTGAGAATCCCTTCTTTGTTGCCTCAAGTTTTCTCTTCATCTGTTTGGAAATTAATTGTCCAGTGCTCACTGCCATATAGGAAGATTAATATTACACATATTACTTTTCTTTGTTTCTAACAAGATTTTCCTGTTTCTTAATACTCTGAAGCAAGCATTTATAAAATAAACTGCCAAAACTGTTCCTCACAATATATTAAAGAAACAAGCAGAATATTAAAAAATGCATCTTTGAGTACAAAAGAGACCTCACAAAAAACAAGTTAACTAATTCACTAGTCATATATAGAAATAAATTCAACCACAATTTTGATTTTAAAAATGCTACACTCATAAAAAATGATAATAACTTACTCAGAAGGAAAATCCTCGAGAGTGCTAACATTGAATATTATCCAAATATTAATCTACCCCCAGGTTTTTTCTTCTATTTCACCTTTCCTAACAAAATTACTACTCTCCCAAGCAAACGTATACAACTGTATGAAGTAATCAAAAGAAAATGGTTGAATCCATCAACACAACAATAAAAACAGTATTTCCACATGTGACAGTACTTGACGTAATTTTCAGTTGACAATATGAATATAATAGTGTTTTCTAAATTCTTCTGGTTGCTAAGAACATTTTGTTTTGTTATTAATAGTTACTTTGTTTTAATAAATTCATTTCGTTTTTGCCTTGAAAAAGTTCACATTGGATGAAACATGTCAGCTAAATATAATTTTCCTATTGTCTTTTACATTTATAAATATTGTCTTTTTCTACAGGTTAACTCTGAGAAATTTTTCATACTTTGTTTTAGTTTTTGAAAGGCGCATTTGCTATTCCAATGCACCTTAGAATTTCAGTGCCATATTTTCTATCCTCTGTTAATACCCATACTTGTTTGGTTTTTGACATCTACAGTTTGTAGTTCACATCTTGGAATTTTTCTCTTGTTGTCAACTATCCATTCTCTCTTTTTGCAATTGATTGCTAGTTCTTTCTTCACACTTTCCTTTACTACTGTTCCTAGAAGCTCCTGTAGTTTTCCTTCTGTGTCTGCCAAGGCAATAGAGTCACTAAGATGCAAGGGGTTACTGAATGAAGGAGAGAGAACAGTAAGAGAACAAGAATTAAGTAGACAGAAGATAACAATTGATATTGCATTTCAATTTTTGAAGATCAAAGCTGACAGGAAATTAGGATCTCAGAAGAGAGTTCTATAAATGAGAAGTGAAAGAGAAGAAACTGTTAGCATAGAATTTATGGTTACAGTTAGGCATTTCAACTGTAAGATTGTTAGACCTTGCTGCCAATCTAGTAGTAGGCTTAAATTAATAAAGTCTAGGTACCAAAGTGGAAAGATCATCAGAAGAATTACTATGAAAATCTTTATAGAAAAAGCAGAGGGGAGCTACATTACAACAGTGAGAAAGTGTCTGAAAACGAAATTCCAGGTCAGGACCAATAACACTGATGATTCTTCTTTGGATTTTATGAAGAATTTCTAAATACATAGCAGAAGCATTAGCCCAGATGAGGCAGCACTATTCAATGCATTGATGAAAGTCAGACTTATAAATATTCATCATAGATTCTGGCAAAAGAAATTGTCTATCATAACACAGTGAACCAACTTTCCTAGTAGCAGACCTAGCAACTGATTCAATATAATCTTTCCAATTATATTATTGGCTTTTAACCAAGCATGCAGCACTTCAAAGAATTTTCTTTCAACAATCCAAGAAAGCTAAATATTTCAAACTATCTCTCTTCATCTATTTTTGAAAGTATGCAAACATATATCCTTTTGGTGAACAATAAACTCTCTTACCTTTGTTTTAAACATTTTTAAATATTATTGTGTGTCACATCATTTAATCTGCTGTTTGAAATTTTCCTTGTCATTACCATCCATCATTAATTTTTTTGGCATGGGTAAATCTACTATTCATGGCTGAGTATGACTTGTCCAATCTGATACCAATAGATAACACTAAATAAATCCTTTGAGAACATGGACTGAAGGGGTGTGTAGTGAGTGCAAAGTATTAATAACTCCCTTTACTGACTCCCTTTAAATTTGGGTAATTTGAGGAAAAAGACAAAAAGGAATTTGTGAGACTATGTGAAATTGTTTTGAACCAATGAAAACCTTGTCTTCACAGAAATTAACCATTGAGCCAAGAAAGTAGCAAGTCTATGCAAAATTCTTTTTGATATCTGTTGTGGATTCCAGGATGAAATCCGGTCTCAAATGAATGACAAATGCAGGAATGAAATATAGCAAATAAATGTATTGACGTAATAATACAATTGGTAATACGGTTAGTAGATCCAGAAATGCAGTTAGTAGCAATAATAATATATATACAGTCTGGGAAATTCAGTATCAAAGTATGACTTCCTTCTGAGTCTACGTGCTCGCAACTGTGACTCCTACAAAGCAGTTACCTTACACTCTCACTCTCTCACTGCCTCATTGTCTCATTTCCGGGTATTCACCGGCAGCAGCACAAGTACACACTGGGCGAGTCCACTTGTATAAAAAGGGGTGGACTCCTTAACAATATCAAATGAGGAGAAAAATTAAATTGATAAGAGAGGAGCGTCTGAAGTCATATGAAAGGTTTTGTTTCTGTTCACTGCATCCAGCATTGAAGTTTTACCAGTATAAAACTACTCGCCAATTATATTATTGGCTTTTAACCAAGCATGCTGCACTTCATAGAAATTTCTTTCAACAATCCAAGAAATCAAAGTATTTCAAACTATCTCTCTTCATCTATTTTTGAAAGTATACAACAGTATATCCTTTTGGTGAACAATAAACTCTCTTACCTTTGTTTTAAACATTTTTGAATATTATTATGTGTCACATCATTCAATCTCTTGTATGAACATTTCATCTTCATGAAAATTTGTTAAAACTATGGACTTTAAAAATTTCTGATTTATTTTCCTGAAATGAGCTACTGACACAACTTCAAGTGTTTAAATTCATAAATAAATTCCCTATCTTGTTTTGTTAAAATTACCCATGTGTTTCCCTGTTGTTATCATCCTTCATTAATCTTCTTGGCGTGAGTAGATCGACTGTTCATTACAACCCTTGAAACCCCATGCCAGTATAAGCTAAATGAAAGTAACTTACTCTGTTCATATTTGTTAATAATATCCCAATGAAAATCATTTTCATTTCTGATCATGCACAATGGGGAGGTGACTCTGACATACTGATGTCAGTGTCAAGACATTGCTTTTTTTTTTTTGTCTTATGTGTTTTTGAATGTGTTGTGGTATACTAGTGAGCTGTCTTTGTTTTGCTTTTGTTCTCGGAGAAACAGGAAAAAAATGATTGTTTTATGCAACAAGAAAATCTCAAGAGAGAGACTATTTATGCTTACCTACATTGAGTGATTCTAACATCAGCTGATCGATCAATAAATAGATCAATAAACATGTGAATATTTTCAAAGGCTGACAAAAGGAAAATCTAATGACAGATAGAAATTGAGAAAAATGCACTGAGGGACACCTTGAATGGTCAACCAGATAAAAGTGTATATTGAGAATTTAAGGACAACAGTTGCTTTGGTCCAAGTGAACAATTAAAAGCAAAGGATTTTCTGTCTTGTAATCTTTAATAAAATAAAATGCATCTAACTATATTCTAAAAAGCCCATTTTCCAATTGATAATTTTACTAATACTTGAGTAAAAATGTTTCCTTTTATTCCTCCATTAGTAATTCTGGGTGTTTGAATGCCCAACAAAAATGTTTTTCCTTAATGGCAATTCAAATTTTCATGATTAGTCAACTAGTTTTCTGAATATTTTTCTCAAGTAATCACAATGATTTTCTAGCTTCAGTCGTAATATTTGTATGAATTACAGGCACATGACTACAAAGACTGTAATTGTGGAAATGTATGAAAAGATCACAGAAAACCCTTCATTGCTTCAAAGGTGAACAAGTAGTTGAAGAAAAGTCAGATTGATTATAAATTGCTTTAAAAGATCCTGTTGAAAATAAAAAGAAACCTTTTTTTGAATATTTAAATTTTGAAACTTAGAAATTTATTTTTTAATATTGGTCTTTTAATTCAATTTTATTTTTTTTATTTATCTTATAAAACCAGAAAGAATGTTAAAGAGAATATGTGACAAGAAATTTAAAAATTAAATGGTAAATCTATGACATTTTGAATTGGGTATTTGAAATTGTTCATTGCTTGGAAGGTAAAAAAGCAGTTGAAGAAGAGTCAAATTGGTTATAAATTGTTTTAAAAGATCCTGTTGAAAATAAAACAAAACCTACTTTTGCATATTTGAATTTTG